AAAGAATATCGGACGGAAAAGGCAGCTTCAACAGCAGAACATGAATGAAGACAACGCGCTTCACTGGTGGTTTCAAACATTAAATGTGTGTGGGTCAACCCTATTGAAAAATGATCCCCAATTCCAGCGCTTCAAATGGTTCTGCCAAAGGTCCTCAGTGCTTCCTTTGCTGGATTTCTATTCGCCAATCCTATGCCAATCATTTGTTGGTCCCCCCTCTGATTCCACAGGAGCATGCGCCGTTAGATGTTACTGGTGTAGATGGGCCACCAAACTTGGAGTTGTTGCGCCGTTGCGCCACTCGTTGCGATGATGACCTATAGGATAGTGCCACTTCATCACGTCAGGATACTCATGAGTCCACTACAGTAGGCCTACCTCTACTGTAGCCTGCGCCATGACTATCCACCGGATTCCTTGGTGACTCCAATGTCCAAACATCCACTGGGGCCTAAGACTTTGATCAAACCAAAACCGGAAACAACTGTGTAAGTTGATAAGTTCACAAAGAATCTAAGACATGTTATTACATTATAGAGTGGATGTGCAACACGGCTCGCGAAATCGAAGCAGCCACTCAGCCACTCAGCCACTCTGCCAGAAAGGCTGGACCAGCCACTCAGCCACTCAGCCACTCTGGCAGAGCGGCTGACGCAGCCACTCAGCCACTCAGCCACTCTGAGTGACTGAGTGGCTGAGTGGCTGGAGAGCCATTGGAGTGTAAGCAATATTACCCAGACCTAATTTTTCTTAGGTCTGGGTAGTATCTCAAGTGAGGTTTTATGCTATTTTAGGGTCCCTTCCTTTATTCATCCAGGCACTGGGGCATATATTCTTATGGGTTGAATGGAATCTTAGGCAAACAGGCAAACATCTGTGTTAAAGGGTTGTGAGAAAGAAGTCATTAATCATTTGTGTTAAAGGGGTTCGCTCTGTGGGTCCCTGCGGATCATCATGGCGAAAGGAATGAGACATGTGGTTATAGTTCCAATGTTTTCATATATGTATGTTATCAAAGAAATTATATATATATATATTAATAGATATAGCTAGACACAAACACACCTAAGGTCATATCATCCACCTCCATCATTTCATCATTTACCACAGTTCATTTTCACAACAGTTCATATCATTTCATCACAGTATCAACACAAAATAAAACCACATAATTTCATACATCATCATCCCACATCATTTCATCATCATCCATCATCACATAATTTCATATCATAAAGTTTCACCATATTATTTTATCATAATATATTATTATAAAATAATATCATAAATCCAAATCATCCACGTCTAACATTCCTATGTTCGAATCATATTTTTTCATATATTATGATATGAAAATTATGGGGTTAAAGTCTTTTAATGTTTTTTGGTGTATTGGTTTTCCAGATTTGTTTCAATTTTGCAATTCTGGCTTCATCATCTTTTAAGTATTCCTCCATATATTTTTGTTTTTTCTCTTCTTCCTTTTTGAGTTTTTCCTTGCTGGAATGCCTGTCGGTTTTAAGATGTTTGGACAACCTGCATTGTTTCACATTCCGTTGGCAAATATCGCAGAATACTTCCTTTTGATTATATACTTTGTCACTCTCCTTTTGTTTGTCCAAGCATTCAATACACATTCTATTCATTCCATTGAACTCGTCACCATTTTTGTTTTTCTTACACTTTGTGCACTTTCTACTCTCCATACTATTATAAGGCATTATCCTTTCAATTTTAAGTGTATTTCCTTATGCCATAAAAAATCATATTATCTGATATGAAAATTTATGGGGTTCAAATATAAATTCCTTGTTGTATCTTTCATACACTTTGTCAAACTTATTCTCGTCAATAATTGTATTTCCAATAAACTGTTCACTGTATATGCAACAATATTTTTCTTAAGCAATCTATAAAGGTTTCATGATTAAAGTTATCATCCATACAATCAGCATCATTAATATTCATTTCTAACATGCAGAATGCAACCGTAGAATATGAATTGTTACAACATGTTTCAATCCTTGTCCATAATCTTGATAATGTCTCATTTCTTTTTCATTTAATACTAAATTCATTTTATCATCTGGTCTGGAATTTCATTCACTAAAGTATTATAAACGTATATTTGAATTTGTTCATCAATATTATCATCGTCACAAGGGTTAATATCAATTTCAATTGAATCAAAATGACTCATTATATTTGAGCAAATTTTACAGGCTACATATTCACAAATTTTATTACCAATACCATCGGTATTTTTTTTTGATAATTCATTTTATTGTTGCATATTCACTACATTTACAGCTTAAGATTTTTTGTTTGATGTATTCTTCTTGATTGATTTCACGTTCACTACTTGTATCACTGAATGACATTTCGCTAAAAAATATATATATATAATATTCCTTTAAGCAGATTTCCTATACATGGTAATTTATATGTTCAGCAATTGATGCCTCAATAGTGGTCTATTGTATCCTTCTAATGTATAATATGTTTGATTCATTTTTTCATCAATGGACTCTACGGTATACTCACCTTTCAAAAAGTGTGAGGTTCTCTCCTTCTCCGTTGTTGCTTTCTTCCTTTTGATTTTTACTTTGTCTCCCACAGATAGTTCAGGATAGAGCCTCCGTTTCTTTGCTTTCATTGCAATGTTTAATCTTGACTTGAATTCATTGTCTGTATCTCTGGCTTTATACGGTGTTTGACCAGTAGAGGAATGCACATCTTTATTATTGTAAGTTAACACAATTTCATCTATGTAGTCTATCCATTGTATATTCGTTTTTTATATAATTATTTTCATCGTTCTCAACTCTTTTGCATAATTTGTCTTTAACAGTTTTTATAAAACGCTCGGCAAAAGCAGGGTGGCCTCTTGTCCTATACAGTTCGGCCTTCGCTTTCTACATATGCTTGGAATTTACCACTTGCTATAGCTTTCTCGTCGTCGGTGTATATGATTTCAGGTTCCTTGCCCATCTTCTCTATCGCTTTCTTTGTTCCTTGAATAACACTGCCTGTCTCTTTCCTTCTTACTGGGACTACGACAGCATACTTACTCAAACAATCAATACAGACTAATCCAGCTCTGTATCTTTGTTTTACCTTTATTTTTTTTGGAAATAAAGAATATATCAACTTGGTATCTATGATTGTTATGTGGAACAACAAAGCTGTTATAGCCTCTCGGGTTCATTTTTATCTCTACACTCTTGTTGAAAAAAATCTTCAACATCTTTCATAGTAATAGATTTGTTTTTCTCTCTTGCATCCTTCAAAGTAGTGTTTTTGGAACTAAACCCTGCTTTATAAAAATATATGTTTCCTATGATTTCTTGCTTACTCATACCAATATTTTATTAAGTTTATTATTATGAAAAAATCTAATGTGAAGAAGAACTGCAGTGGCAACAATAAGCCTCGTTGTCAATAGAATGGCACAGTCCATTATCACCTCTCTGCGCCGTAAAGTTACTTGATAATTTGCCACCTCTGGTATCAAGATTAAATTTAACTCCACACTTTGCACAACAACCCTTGAACATCTTCAAACATGTTCATCCATGTATTCATCAACTATTTATCTTCCTCCTTTTCTGTCTTGTCCTTTGTGACCTTCAACCTTGTTTTTAAAATAGTTAACTACCAAATTTTTAAACATATTTTCGTCGGCTTTATCATTTTTGAAAAAATATACATTATTGAAATCTGTTGCTCTGGTTACAGCACACCATAGCCATTCTTTGCTCACCAAATAGTCGTTGTAATAGTTGTTTCCAATCCTGAACTTGTAGAGTTCATCACCACTCTGTTTCTTTTTAAGTGATTTCAGGTTATGGTTCAAAGTGTATATGTGGCTGTTCTTAATCAATCCGTTGAAGTTATGTAGCTATGGCAGTTGAAGTTTACAGGGTTATGTTTGTAAATCAAGTTGCTGTCAATGTCATATATATACTTTTGCTTGGATATTGAAATGTTTAAAACTTTATCCGTCCATTTCATTGATTGATGACTCTGCCGTAGCCACTCAGCCACTCAGCTGCTGTGCCAGAGTGGCTGATGCAGCCACTCAGCCACTCAGCCACTCTGCCAGAGTGGCTGGAGCAGCCACTCAGCCACTCAGCCACTCTGCCGGAGTGGCTGGAGGAGCAGCCACTCAGCCACTCAGTCACTCTGCCAGAGTGGCTGGAGCAGCCACTCAGCCACTCAGCCACTGGAGCAGCCACTCAGCCACTCAGTCACTCTGCCAGAGTGGCTGGAGCAGCCACTCAGCCACTCAGTCACTCTGCTGGAGCAGCCACTCAGCCACTCAGTCACTCTGCCAGAGTGGCTGGAGCAGCCACTCAGCCACTCAGTCACTCTGCCAGAGTGGCTGGAGCAGCCACTCAGCCACTCAGTCACTCAGAGTGGCTGAGTGGCTGAATGGCTGATGTGAAAATTTCCGCCATTGCGCGTTCAATCTGTTATTACATGAAAGAAACCATAAATGTCATACTTATCTGCGGTATATCTGAAGTAAACATTACTCTTGACAAACACCCACACATACACACATCTGAATCTGAGGCAGATTTGTTGTGTCTGTATGTAGATGTCAATATCAGGCGAAGGGAGGGGTGTGCACGGGATATAAGATGTACGTAACTGTACGTATATATGATGTGCACGGGATGATCTCTCGTGCTCAAACTTTGGTCCCAAAAACAAAAATGATTTGGTCCGCCTAAAACATGACAATAACATGTATGTGGTCTGCCTGGGCCTTGAATCTAGACCCAGATTGGATTATTCAAACATCGGCAAACAGGACGTTTGTCCAGCGCTGCCTTTTCCAATAATCAGCCCAGCCGTTCTCGAATCGACAGGCAGAGACACAACTTCGTATCCTCAGTTGGGACTCACTGAGGCTCCAAAGTGGTGTAACCATGGACTCCATGGACACACTGAGTTGGTCATTCTTAGCATTAGAACATTTCAACCCCCTAAATTCATGGCCAGCTGCAGGCCAAGCGTCCGCCAAGTCTCCTCAAAATCTCATCAAGGACGCTTTTGCAATCGTCTGGCTGGCCAGAGAAGACACAGTCTTGCATGGAGCTCTCATCTGTGGAGTCCTCAAACTGAATCTCCACATCTCGCTCGCCCTTGATGTCTTTGATGTGCACACCGTTCTTGCCCAGAAGCACGTCACTCTTCAGGCGCTTGCTGATCCGTAACTTGATCAAGGAAAAGTCGAGGTAAAGAGCTTCTTGGAGAAGCTCTTCGGCATGGTCAACTTGTCGTTGATTTCCACGAATTTCAACGAGGTTCTCTGCCTCGCGAGGGATCCTCAAGAATGCCCCCACAGGGCAGCAGAAGGCAGGTTCGCCGTGACAAAAAAGTCAGCATGATAGCCCCCAGCGAATGCAAATGGGGCTATCAATAAGAACCAGCAATTTGGGGAAACTAGAAGTTGTTCCTTGGGACTGGAAACCTCTGATGCGATCAGCTCAACCTCTCACCTAATCATCCAGGATCAGAGTTTTTTCTACCATCTCCACTCTTGCCCAACTCGTTTCCAACTGCCCTGGCATTGGTGATCAATGTGACAATCCAAAACTGATCAGTCCATCTAGAGAATGAAAAAGGTCTACGAAACATTATGAAACCCATCATTTTCACAGTCAGAGTGCTGTGACACTCATCAAGTGTACCCTCCCCTGTCCTGAAACATGGCTTGCTGAAAAATACCCCAGCTATAGTTCGATGATTTTCGCATCGAAGCACTATTGAAAGCATGAATTCCCAGCTAGCCATGTTTGATGACACCAAATGAACCAATATTCCGCGAATGTTCCGTTGGATTTCCCGTTGAGTATCCCCATTAAACGATATTAAACGTCCCAATTATATATGCATATCTAGAGATTGATAGTCTATCAATATGCCATTGGCATTCCATTCCCTCTCCCCTTCCCCAAGATTCTCCCAGTCATATCCAGTCGCTTATCGCCCGCCTCGGCCTCGCAGCCAATGGCCTTCAGCCGGCGCCACATGAAACGCCCCGCGTGGGGAAGAAGTCGCAGCTCCTTGGTGATTTGGCGATGCTCCTCGCGACAGCTCGCGACAGCCTAAGCAGCTATATAAGCAGCTATACAAGACGGAGAAGGAAATTACTTTTCTATCTTGTCCATTCGTTGTTGGGCGGTAGGTATCTGTAGGTATCTGTGGGTTTAATGGTCGCTTTCCCGCTTTCATCTCTTGATGCTGTAGATGGTATGCTTCACTGCTCCTGTATGAAAGCCTTCAGCCTGGAGTAGACAAGCTCCACATCAGCAGTGGGTCCAGCAATCCTCACGGTCGTATCCGGATCTTTTCCTTGGCGCAGCGCATCGTAGGGCTTCAAGGGCTGATGCAGGAAAGTGCCAAGTTTCTAACTTACTAAGAGCCTGCAGCTCACCTGTCCTTCAGGAATTTGCTGCAAAATGATACAAAATGTGAGGTTGAAATTCTCCCCCTTTCCCTTAAATAGCTCCCTGATGCTCCCTGCACGGCTAGTTCTGTCCGAACCTAAAACAGTGTTTCAAGATGAGTCTAGAGCAATGAGCCACAAAATATCGCTTGTCTATGCGGTACTTATCTAGAAATGTCCATGTTTTGCAAGCAAAGCAGAGTAAAATGATGTAAAATGATTGTTAGAAAGGTTCCCTGCCAGCCTTGGATTGGCTTTTATAGCACACCCTTCAGAGTCAGTTCCAAGTCTCCGACGTGGACATCAACAGAGGTGTTCTGGCGGAGTCGATTGATGTTGACTCCTTCTTTTCCAATGATCATAGAACGAAGGCGTCCATCGTCAACCTGCAACATACTGGAAGCACACAGGCACAACATGTCTGAGCGGAATCTATCATTGGTGAGGAAGGCTGACTAGATGTTGCTGGGTTTGAAGAACCAAGCCTAAGCTGCGACCCGCACCCAGGGCTGAGACGTCTCTCGTTTTGCACATGCATACACTGAGCACTATTCCAAATCCAGCGGTCGAAACAGTTCACCCGATCTGGCCTGCAACTGCTTTGAAAGAACGGTTGGCAGCAAATCTTCCAATGCTTTCTTCATCTTTTCCCGCCTTAGGGCAAACAGCACTGCTGGATGTCACTAACTGGATAACCAGCGAGACGTGACTTTGCCAGGGCTGTCAGAGTATGCAACGTCAAACATCACCAATGCCTTGCTATGGCTCAATAAATAAGCACCAACCAACCGGCCAAAAAACTTGGCCAGTTTAGGGTAAAAAGCCCCTAATGCTCCGGGCAAATAATACTTGAGCCAAACCCAGCCAAACTTCCGAAGAGTTACTCTGCTGCATTTCCCCTGATGTGCAAGATGTCATCCTCAACTGCAAACTTTCCGGGCAGCTTGCCGGAGAGCGTTCTGGAGAAGTAGCCTGGGGTCTTGCCATGGGCTTTTCCGAAGACCCGCAATGCCTTGCTACAAACATCATACGGAGATTACGCCATTCTTGGTCTCTGGGACGGAACTGGCAGCTGCTTTCAATGCAAGTCTCTGTGGCAGTATCTGATTGCTGGCATGTATGATGTAGAACAAGGTTTGCAACGGTTTCCGACTTACCCACCTTTGCATTGAACTATGGAACCACAAGGCATTGCATGTGTCCCTAAGAGCTTCTATGCGCGTCGAGGCATCAGTGTGAAGGCACACAGAAACTGTATATAAATCAGGAAGGTCACCCAGTTTACCACCAGCAATCCTCAAACCTACTTGCAGGATTCGCAGATGGCTTGACAGATACAATCTACCTTCAACCAGCTATGTTGTGCTACCATAACCCCCAAGAACCCTGCCCATCCCTTGCCTCCCATGTGAGGCGGTAGGGGTAGAGCTTCCCAGCAGCGGGCTACGGCATTCACCAAATCCATCACCAAACCTTTCACTTCAGCGACTTCTTCGGCATCCCCACCCAGGTGCAACGGCAGCTCTCCTGCACCGTGGCTTTCGTGGCTCTGTCCACCCTTGTGGCTATCATCCTAAAACAGCTTGGAGCAACCTCCATGTTGACTCAAGTTGACCAAGAACAGCTGGAACACATCCGCACTCAAAATGCCCAAGGAGTAGCGCTGACCCTGCCTGATTCTGACCACTCATTGTCAAAGCTAATGTCAACTGTTGAGTAGTTGGATTCAGCTTGCCACCGCTGAAAACTGCTTCGTACCGCATCCTGCCAGCATGGCAGAAAAATCAAGGTCTTCCCACCTGAAAGAATCGTGTTGTTTGGTTTTTTCAGCAGTAGGAACGGAATCCTTTTCAAATTATCACAAGGTTCAAGCAACTAATTCATGGCAAAAGTAGGGAAACGTTGCAAAACCGCCTTTGATTCACCGCGCAAGTCATGTGGGGAAGTGGTGGACAACGGATGCCTTGCGTTTCGAAAAAGGCATGAAACACCGCACCTTAGCTCGAACATCTTTCAGGTCGACTGCTTCGCAGTGGAATGTGGACAAGATCCGCTGATAGTGCTTGATCCCATCTTCCACCTTCAAAAAGCAGTGGCTATGCATTGATTTATGTACTGGAACTGGGTTCATCATGTGGTTCATCTGAATTTGCAGGCACAAATTAGGACCCCACGGGCCAGGAACAATTTGAGGCATGGCAGTTGGCATTTATGTTCAGAGTTTAAAGAACGAAGCAAGCCAATCAGCTTGCTAACAACTGGGCATACCGAATATTAGCAGCAACCCGCATATTCTTGGCCCCTGCCTGCCGTTGGGACCCGGAAATCACCACTTGGCCATCTTGCAAAGACAGGTCTCTGTATGAGGCGCAACTGTGTGATGATGCCGCAGTTCCACTGAATGCCCACCACAAACGGATGTGGCTTTGCGATGAAAGTCAGCTGCTCCGTAGTCTTCTTTGCTTGCGAATCTTTTGATTGGCACCTCGAGCAGACCCAACTTGGCTTTGTGTGGTTTCTTGAAAATGGGCTAATTATACCCCAAGTTAGAGCAATTTGATTTGGGAGCACGATGATGATAAATCATTGGCTCTTAGATGTTGTGTGCACCCTATTCTCTCTTCCTTGAAACCTGCACTTGGAGTCAAGCCACCTCGTAGTTGTCGTCGTCAAAGGCCATGCGAAAAGCATAGAGCCTTCTGTTGTCCATGCTGATGTGCCGATCCCCGTCCTGGCTGAGGGATTCTGAAACACCAATCCTCCAAGTGTGTGGTCGGTCCTTCTTGCGGCCAAAAGCGAAACAATGGCTTCGTCCAAAACCGGCTATACCCGTAAAATCACTGACTGCATACTGACAACATTCCCCTTTTCATATGGCGACTTGGGGGTAGTGCCTCATTTTCAGGCATATATCGTATACCCTCTGGCAACCTAACCTGGCAATGAGAAATGCCAAAATCTCCACTACTTGTATTGATTTGTAGATAAATGTTCGAAATAAAGTGGGGTAGCTTCCAGCAACTCATATTTGATTACCAGAAGGTACCTGACCCTAAATATGAATTTGGTTAGTTTCGCCCCTGAACATTCTTAAACATCTCCATCTTATCCGAAAAATATATCATGTATCAAAGGATTGTGGTTACTTACTTATATCCTCTCAATATCGCTATAAATATTTCCATTTTCAGACAACCCCACATATCATATCACTGGTTGGTGGTTTCAACCCCTATGAAAAATATTGGTCAGTTGGGATTATTATTCCCAATATATGGAAAAATAAAAAATGATCCAAACCACCAACCCGTATCAAGCTGGTTATACAGCAATAATATCCGATCAACATCCCCATTCCCAAATTATCTTGCAATAGTATGCAATATTTATACCTGAAGACAGCTCAAGGATCATCAACGACGTTGATGTAGGGAATCTTCTCGATCACCCATGGATTCGCCAGCAGCAAGTCTACAGTGTCTTGCAGAGGGGTGCCATCAGTGAAGGTGTCTGCGATGGTGGCCTCCGGCTTCGGTATATTCAAATTGATGGTGTGTCCAGTGATAGTTTCAAGAATTGGTAGTAGTTTGTGCCAAACGAAAGAAGACAAGTTATTTGACCCTAAGAACTGGGAAACTTATATCCGTTGGTGTCCCTTTTGTATGGGTAGCAACTGAAGGTGAAGGTCACAAGTTGGAATTTGAAGCTCTGTCAGTTTTGTCAATTGGCTGTCTTCCACTCTTCGGCTGCGAGAACAAGATCTGGCCAATCCGACACCTCTCGATACGCCATCGATGGTTGGCACCATTGGCAGCCTGGTCAGGAAAGTGCCAGGAATTTGGGATGCAACGATGCGCACACATTGGCATTGCTGCACAACAGCATGTTGACATGTTGCTGGTCGTTTGGGTTTCCAGTCTTCATCTGTGCCCAGTGCAAGACTGGTTTCGACATGAAGCTCTAGTCTGCGGCTGTTTGATCAATAGAAAAAAACACAGAAAATGCTAGTGGTTCAGGGCAAGCACAAAGCACATTCCTTTTTTACCCTTTTTTCATATGGTTCAACAGTGGGAGAACAACGTTCGCTCCGCCAAAACAGAGGGCCCCGTCCCGTCTCACGCCTCCCACTTTTCCCAACAACTTGGGCAATATCCTCGATAGAGGTCCCCTTCACCTCCGCAGGACTTGCACCATGCGGTGTAGGCCTGGCCCAAGCAGAGCCCTTCACCAACTCTTTCCGATGAATCGAAGAGTGAAATTCTACATGCCATGACCATCATGACAGTGTCATCCCCAGCGGATGGGCGCTGAAACCTATCATGGGTCGCAGTAAATCATGATAAATCCATGGCATGTCCCATCTAAGTTGGTCATGGAAGATCCAGCACGAACACTTCCCCCATGGATAGTTTTATCTTTTCCAATGCGACTACAGTCTCCACTGCACGAGGAGGTAATAAATTGATAGCCGGGTGCCTGCCAAGAATTCGAAGGCATCACGCCGAGCTTGAGCCAACAAATTCCTGCGGAACACCCGTTTGTTCTGAGTAAATACCATTGAATATGCCTAAAATAGAAATTCACAGGGAGTCCTGAGTTTCGATGGGTAACCACATCTGTTTGGTAAGGATTCATCCCTACAGGAGAAAAATCAAAGTACAAAATGCTGCAACATCACCGCGTAGTCGAAGCATGAAAGCTGTGCCCAAGTTTCTGGAACCATATCATATGCAAGTAGAACAAGTCAAAATGATGCGCATTCTCTCATATCTCCACTTTTCGCTCTGTCAGTGGCAGGTTCATTGCTCCATAGATGACGCGGCTGTGAGCTTGTGCACAATGACCGGAGAGAGTCAGCCGATAATTTTGGCGTGAGAACAAAAATCCCGAGAAAGCCTTCTGCACACACGGAAATGTGCTGCGTGCCGCAGGCTACTGATATCCGCAGTTGGGTTGCAAGTTCCACCTTTCTTTGCCCATAGATTTGGAATTTGGAAACAAACCCAACGGGCACGCTGATCTCTAGCAGAATAGTTCTTATCTGGCAGCTTCGGCGAGACGGCTGCAACATGATCGTAATTGCATTTTAGATTCTGCTGGTGAATGCGAAATCCGCTATTGACACCTTACACTGGGAGGGAGGGAGAAAGAGTGACAGAGAGTGATAGAGACACTCCGAAATAATGTGTGTGCGTGAGTGTGTGTGTGTGTGTGCATTTGCATCTGCAGCTCAATGGATGTGTAAACTGCTGAAGATACATGAAAATACTTTCTTGAGGCTAGTTCCCCACAAACTCTGGATGTTTCATTATACATTGCACTGGACTAGACAGCTGAGTCGCAGGCACTAAATTCAAGACTGGCAGGGAAAGCCATTGATGGGATATTGGAACCCCGTGGCCTCCCAAAAGGTCTAAAGCACACTTCTTCTGCCAAACATGCCTCGCACTTCTTTTTGTTTACCTGTCGAGTGTTGAGACTCAGCAGTGTTTTTTTGCAGGTCAATCGATTGACAAAACCGTGCCTCAACTCGTGGGATTGTCTCTAAAATTCCCCAACATGCGTATTTCCATTGGAATATGGATGATGAACCATGGTCCCAATGGTAGTCTGGGGACGAACATTTTGAGACAACCCCATGTCAAGATATCCACCAATTCAACTTTTCTCCTGTCGGCAGCTCCCCTGGCGAACGCCTATGGGCCTATGGTTTTGCTGTGCTCATAGGTCTCATCCCATTCAGCAGCCTTTCGTATAGAAGCTGTCGCTTGCCTCGGGCCCGCCTGCTTGGTGAGTAAAGAAGGGGATCTCTTCCCAACTACCCCTGCTGGCTACAAGCCAAATGTCAAGCCCCAGTGAAATGATAAAAATTGGCTACCAATTTTCCAGGAATGTTGCTTTTTGTTGAGCACCTTTGAAGCTGCAATAGCCCATTCCTTGCTAACCGTTCAAATCAGTCAAACTCGACAGTGACACAACGGCACCCACGTGCCGTGCGCTCCCGTGCAACGGTTCTGCGCCAAGATTGATCGGTACGTGTTACAGTATCAAAAATACTGGCATCGAAGGTGCTAAACTCAACGCCAAAGTTATATACAGGAGTTGTCTGAAAAGGCTACTCGTTCTGCTATTTGGGGCGGCCTTGCTTGCCAAAAACGCAGTGACGCGGTTTGGTTCTGTGTCCTGGTGACAGAATAAGGCCCGGGAAGAAATGCCACTTCTATTGCGCAAACATTGGCACGGTGGCAGTTCTGGAACCTTCTGGCCAAATTACGATTTAATACTATCTACAGTCTACAGACAGATGTCTACAGTATAAATTGTTTTCTATGGACCCTCGAACATGTACTCTTGCACGCTTGACCGCATCCCGGAACAACATATCCTTGCTTACAAACTTTGCAAGAGAAGCTTCACAGACTCCACTTTGGCTGTAGATACCAAATTCAAAACTGCATATAGTTATTTGGGGCGGTCTTGCAGGCCAAAAACACAGTGACGCGGTTTGGTTCTGAATCTGTCGCACGTGGGAAGCTCTTTGTTTTGACCTGTAAACATTCAAACCATTTCAAAAATAATACTACTTTGGACCCACAATTGATACTTAAAATTCTGCTCGAGCGTTTCTTGCACAAAAAGAGTTCGACAAAATGGTATCCGTTGTGGTGCATCATGGTTCAATCCAAGAAAATTGCGGGGATGAGATTTCAAAATTGATATGTTGAATTCAGTAAAAATGCAGTAGCAGTAGTCCTCCCAACCTGCTGCGCACCAACATGGCGACGGATGGGCATGGCCACGGACAGCCACCTTGATTTGGAAACTCGATACTGTCGCGGGGTTTTTGCGTGGCTTTCGCACGACTTTCACAGATTGGACACCAAAGACGAGTGGTTTGAAAAGGCTGCTCCGTCTGCAAATTAGGGGCAGCCTTGCGTGCCTAACAAACACATCTTAGCATGGCTCGATTCACAATCTTTCTCACTTGGGCAACTTAATGTTTGCCCAACATTACCCTGGACCCCCGGGTAGTCCACCTGGCCGTCCATGCAGGACAACTTGAAACTCCTTGAAGAGTACATGAAATACTTTGGGACGCTAAAATTGCAGCTTAAAGACAACAGCCAAAAACACCGGCGTGTAATTGTCATGCCGCTTTTGCTGCGATGGAGTTTTAGGCTTGGACAGCTCCCCTGCGACAGCACCCGGCAACAACAACTTGTGGCAAACGCGCTTTCTGGAACAACGCTCTGCTGGAACGTAAAATGAAGCTGGATGGGCCAGGGCCTTCCCTGGTGAGCTACTCACACACTAGACCCTAGCACTAGTCAGCCATTTGCTTCGCGGTCCAAATTGAAGCAAACTCTTGAAACCATTTCCTTCTTGGCCCTATGGCTCTATTGCTTATAAGTGTCCTGGTGACAGAATAAGGCCCCGGAAGAAATGCCATTTCTATTGTAGCATGGCTCGGTTCACAATCTTTCTCATTTGGGCAACTTAATGTTTGCCCAACATTACCCTGGACCCCCGTGTAGTCCACCTGGCCGCCCATGCAGGACAACTTGAAACTCCTTGAAGAGTACATGAAATACTTTGGGACGCTAAAATTGCAGCTTAAAGACAACAGCCAAAAACGCCGGCGTGTAATTGTCATGCCTCTTTTGCTGCGATGGAGTTTTAGGCCTGGGCTTTGGACAGCTCCCCTGCGACAGCACCCGGCAACAACAACTTGTGGCAAACGCGCTTTCTGGAACAACGTTTTGCTGGAACGGGAAAGCGACAGACTAGACCCTAGCACTAGTCAGCCATTTGCTTCGCGATCCAAATTGAAGCAAACTCTTGAAACCATTTCCTTCTTGGCCCTTTGGCTCTATTGCTTATAAGTGTCCTGGTGACAGAATAAGGCCCAGGGAGAAATGCCACTTCTATTGCGCAAACATCTTGGCACGGTGGCAGTTCTGGAACCTTCTGGCCAAATTACGATTTAATACCATCTACAGTAAACAGTATAAACTGTTTTCTATGGACCCTCGAACATGTACTCTTGCACGCTTGACCGCATCCCAGAACAACATCTCCTTGCTTACAAACTTTGCACGAGTGCCAATGCCAGAAGCTTCACAGAATCCACTTTGGCTGCAGATATCAAATTCAAAACTGCATAGTTTGTCTGAAAAGGCTACTCCTTCTGCTATTTGGGGCGGTCTTGCAGGCCAAAACCACAGTGACGCGGTTTGGTTCTGAATCTGTCGCACGTGGGAAGCTCTTTGTTTTGACCTGTAAACATTCAAACCATTTCAAAAATAATACTACTTTGGACCCACAATTGATACTTAAAATTCTGCTCGAGCGTTTCTTGCACAAAAAGAGTTCGACAAAATGGTATCCGTTGTGGTGCATCATGGTTCAATCCAAGAAAATTGCGGGGACGAGATTTCAAAATTGATATGTTGAATTCAGCAAAAAGGCAGTAGCAGTAGTCCTCCCAACCTGCTTCGCACCAACATGGCGACGGATGGGCATGGCTATGGACAGCTACCTTTTTGCATGGCTTTCGCACGACTTTCACAGATTGGACACCAAAGACGAGTTGTTTGAAAAGGCTGCTCCGTCTGCAAATTAGGGGCAGCCTTGCGTGCCTAACAAACACGTCTTAGCATGGCTCGGTTCACAATCTTTCTCACTTGGGCAACTTAATGTTTGCCCAACATTACCCTGGACCTCCGGGTAGTCCACCTGGCCGCCCATGCAGGACAACTTGAAACTCCTTGAAGAGTACATGAAATACTTTGGGACGCTAAAATTGCAGCTTAAAGACAACAGCCAAAAACGCCGGCGTGTAATTGTCATGCCGCTTTTGCTGCGATGGAGTTTTAGGCTTGGACAGCTCCCCTGCGACAGCACCCGGCAACAACAACTTGTGGCAAACGCGCTTTCTGGAACAACGTTTTGCTGGAACGGGAAAGCGACAGACTAGACCCTAGCACTAGTCACTAGTCAGCCATTTGCTTCGCGATCCAAATTGAAGCAAACTCTTGAAACCATTTCCTTCTTGGCCCTATGGCTCTATTGCTTATAAGTGTCCTGGTGACAGAATAAGGCCCCGGAAGAAATGCCACTTCTACTGCGCAAACATCTTGGCACGGTGGCAGTTCTGGAACCTTCTGGCCAAATTACGATTTAATACCATCTACAGTCTACAGTAATTATAAATTGTTTTCTATGGACCCTCGAAATGTACTCTTGCACGCTTGACCGCGTCCCAGAACAACATCTCCTTGCTTACAAACTTTGCAAGAGTGCCAATGCCAGAAGTTTCACAGAATCCACTTTGGCTGCATATACCAAATTCAAAACTGCATAGTTTGTCTGAAAAGGCTACTCCTTCTGCTATTTGGGGCGGTCTTGCAGGCCAAAAACACACTGACGCGGTTTGGTTCTGAATCTGTCGCACGTGGGAAGCTCTTTGTTTTGACCTGTAAACATTCAAACCATTTCAAACCTAATACTACTCTGGACCCATAATTGATACTTAAAATT